TACTTACACTACTAAACACTATCGTAAACAATTCGTCCACCATTATTATTTCAATAAAAAACATACAATAATACTTATTACAGGACGCTACACTTAGAATAATACAACTTGCAGTCTTTACTGCCCAGACTAAATTAGGCGTGGGGCTAATTAATTACTCTAGTTTACCGTGAGTCTCTCATAACTTGATCTCAATCAAGTTGACGTACCTACTATATAAAATAACGCAATCTCAATTGAAACGATACAGAACATATCATTTTTTTCCATATGAGTAAAAGAGACAGGTTGCTGAGGCCGCAGTATTTTGATATAGCTGGACGATGCTATCTTCCCTCAATACAGTTATATAGGATAACAGACGTTATGCGGCTAGATTAGAGGATATAATAATAAAGCGTTTCGTTTGCGTGGAAATGTTGTTCCTGTGAATTATTGTATTATGTTTTAGGTACTTCGATTAACATTTGCCATAGATGACTGTATGTATACAGTTTAAAAGCCAGGCTCTTGTAGGCCTCCTCTACTTCTCACGCCTCATAGCCAGCTCTTTCACTTCTTTATAGCTGCTCACTTTGATCTTACACAATACACCATTCCTAGTCTTGCTCTCTTTGTTTTCCCTTCTATCTTTCCCTCTGTTATCACTCTCTCCAATTGTAATTACGTAACAAATGTCCAAACGTTTCGTCCCATCACTTGATATTATTAAAAAAATCAGTCATTTATTGAAGAAACACTTGAAGTAAGGCTAATATATGCATAAAATTGGATACCGGCGACAATGCGCCAAAATTTTGACAACGTTTCCCGTGTATGATTATGATTCTGAATACGATATTGAAGAAAGAAAAACCACTGGGACCCTATAGGCTCTACAAGCAAATAATTCCCATAAACTGTAAAACCCATTACACGTGCTACCAAAAGAAAACTATATATGAATTAAGTTCTTTTAACATTTACGGTTGATGACAATAACAAAAGTTCAAGGTTACTAAAAGCAATAAAGCGCGTATATAAAACAGTGATAAATACTTAGTAGCCCTGTAAACAGAAGTTTTATTTCATATTTCATAGAGATTTCCCAAGTACTTTACACAAATTAAGCACGCTTTCAGTCCAAAATGACAGGTTATTCGCAATTTACATGGTCTGTAGTTCATTGAATCGGACTGTAAAGGCTGCTTTCCACCGATTGTGTTGTTGTTTTACCGATCACCTTATTTATTTATTTATTTATTTATTTTAAACACTAAGAATATTACAAAAATATATATACATCACACCCTTACACGTGCCCGCACCCGCGTACCAAGAGAAGAGTCCATGGTTACGCAGAGCATAGCGAAAAATGGGCGGGCTTGTGTGCAGCGGCGGGTTGTCATTCTATTGATTAGCTATTATTATGAAATGGGCTGTACATTGCATGGCAAGCTCGGCTGTGCGAGAAATCAGTAAAATCATGAACCGCAAGAAGTCGTCTTAATAAGCAGTTATTACACAATGTTTTGTTTCGTTACATAAACTGTCACATCTCGATGTTGCTATGTACACTATGTACACAATAAAAAGCGTAAAATTTCAATGTTAAAATAGTACACGTTCATTTGAAATCACAAGTTCAACAATTGAAATAGTATAATAAATCAAACTTTTATAAATTCGCTCGTCCGTACAATAGATAATATTAGTAAATAAAAACCTATTGCACCAATAAAACATGTAAACGAAAGCTTATTTTATACATATTCATCTTATACAAGTTTCCCAATAACTCAATCAAGACATGCCGCCTGTTTATTTATAAAACATCGTAACACTTGTGTATATTCTTCAAAAGAAAATCAGATTTACTTATACACATACGGACCTTTTTGCTAAAGACTTATAGTTTTTTGTAATGTATTGATTCGTTATAACCATTTATCGAAATAGGTAGAGTTTTTTTACCAAAACTTCAATGAACATAGACAGAAAATGGAGACTGCCTTACGACAATATTTTTTAGGTCCTGGACCTGTTCGGGGTTCTGTAAATCACTTAACAAAATTAAAAATTGACATAATTGGGGACAGATAAATATAGTGTACTTGCGTAGACTATATTTATCTTAACTTTGCGACGCATAGTGGGTCGGATCTGCGATATTGCGGACATTGGATTTTTTTCACGATACCTCTTAAAAAAATTGCCAATCGAGAGATCCTATTTTCCTAATTAAATATTGCCATGATGATATTGAATGATGAACCAATGAATGAACCAATTTTGAAAACATTTATGCCACTCCTCCGTGACAATCTCTGAAACATATATTTCATAAATTCGACAGCCTCTTCAGGTGGTGAAAATCGTTGATCGCGTAATTGGTGCTTATTTTCTGGAAATAAGTAAAAGTCACAAGGTGCCAGGTTGGGACTGTACGCGGGATGACTCATAAGGGCAACGTTGTTCACCTTCAAAAATACATTTGTATGTCTGGCCGTGTTAGAACCAGCATTATCGTGGTGCAAGATGACACGGCGTTTACGGTTATTTTTACGGAGTTTGTCAATAACTTCCGGCAAACAAATGGTCGTGTACCAATCACTATTCACGGCACAACGATTCTTCAAAGCAACAGTAGCCACGTGTCCAGTTTTATTAAAAAAGAAGCAATCATCCACTTAGAAGCACTTTGTCCGCGCGCCACTCTGGTTGATTTCGGCTCACCTCGAAAGACCCATAAGCTCGATTGCTGCTTTGTTTTGGGATCGCAACTATAAATCCATGTTTCCTCACCTGTTACTATGTCCCACACCAAATTTAACGCACCTTCGTTAAATCTGGTAAGCATAGCATTGCACCAAGAGACGCGATCCGTTTTCGAGCCTCAGTGAAATTGTGTGGTATCCACCGAGAGCACAGCTTTTTCACACCCAAATGTTCGTGATTCTATTTGATCATGCCTATGCCTAAAGATGCCCAAATCTCATGGTATGTCACAAGCCTGTCTGTTTTGATCATACGGCGCACAGCATCAATGTTTTTGTTGTTCACAGCAGTGGACGGGCGACCATCACGATATTCGTCACTGAGATACGACCACGTTGAATTCTGCAAACCAGCTATAAATAGTCGTCTTGCATGGTGCTTCATCGCCAAAAGCAGTTTGAAGCAGAACGAAGCTCCGCTGAGCTATTAAATTACACTTGAAGTCATAGAAAATCATACTACGAAAATTGTCTCGAATTAAATCCATGGTGATGTAGACAACCAATTTCTAAAATGGCGCCACAATGTAATAACAAGTGACAGTCAGATGAAACAAACTGTACTCTACATCCAAAGAGTTCCATTTTCAAATGTTGTAATTACTTTTTAAATATTGTTTATGTAAGTGACCAGTTTCGAAATAAGTTTCCATGCGCCCTATGTATACGTGTCAGAAAATGAACGGTCACATCGTACCGCCCGCGCCCGCCTACGAGTTGCAACCTACCTAATCCTAACTAACCAAATCCATTATCATGCCGCCTTTTATTCTGTAAAACCGGTTCGCTTTAAAAATGGACCAGTTTTGACCAACTAGTCGAATCTTGGATAATTGACTTAAACTTTTCGCTCGTAGTTAAAGCTTTGTCCAGAAAAAGCGAACTCGCCACCAATGTCTTAAGCGTAAGTTGCCTCCAGAAGAAGCGTTTAACGCGCTAGCGTTTGAGGACAGATTCAGTTAGACCACTCAAAATTAAATGAAGATGTCGAATTTGCGCAAAACATAAAGCTTGTTGTGTTCTTCACAATTACGCCCGACTAAGAGATGGCTACAGATTTGAAGATACATTGTACGAAACATCTCTAGATGGCCTACGTACTACAAAGGTCTCGACATATAGGGGATACATTAGCTGATTATTTTATGGTAAAGGGTCGAACTTCCACTGCAGGACAAAATTGTCTGACTTTTCGTGGTTTAAAATTCTATTAGCGTTCTCAGAAGATTCCATATCCCAAATCACCTTACTTGCCTCGGTTACCATATAAAAATGTTTGTATGGCCTACATTTATTTGTCTCGTAAGTTTGGGTGTAATTTGTGGTTGTCTATATATGTGGCCGTGGCACCCGCGATTCAGGGTTTACCTAGTGCGAGGTTATGAATATGTTCGTTAAAAAAAAATATTTTTTCTATTTCATCTATAAACATTTCCGTATTAAAAATTTGCCGCTTCTTTTCCTTACATACGTGTACTCGCTCTGAAGTTGTGCTATATTGCAGGCGATTTACGCGCGAATTTCAAACACTCGCGCTGCTTGTGATCGTCATCCAGTACTTCGCCGACAACGCGGGTATGAATTAGCGCGAGACGATTCGCGGCGAATTCACTCATTCTGTACCAGGTCTAAAAGTGTAGGTATCTAATTAACAAATTTTAAAATTAATAAAATTTTATCATAAATTCGCATTACATAGTTAATAATTAAGTTAGTAAATAGTACATTAGGAAAACTGAAATGAAATAAAGAATTGCATTCTTATTATTAAAAAAAAATATTAGAAAAACACACAAATACGGTGTGTTCCAAAACGAATTGACCTACATTCTCGTTATTCGTCATTATTAGGTACTAAAGTAAGGTATGGAATAAAATAATAAACGCTTGCACAATTTCCATTTTATTATCATTCACCATCAATTCTTTAATGGAATTTATTAATACAAATGTAAGTAGATTAGTCGTTTTGTATGCCATTCATAGCATTCTTTTGGATAAAATAAGACCGATACGCAATCCAATTACTAACACAACGGAATCCTCTTACATTCCCCACGTCAGTTGTTTGTACCTATTTGCCTAATCCAAAACAATTTGTCTGTGTCCATTATGTATACACCGATTACTTTGTAATAGCAGAAACACTTGCGTTTCCTCAACACCTTTTTCTCTTTTTTCAGGTCGTACGCATAGAAAATGGATGTGAAATCAAATAAAGAACAATACGAGTGTGGATAGCCTACAAGAAGAATCATTATAGACAGAAAGTTCTGTGACAATGAATACATTAACAGAGAATATAAATGAAACCACCAATTTTTCTGCGCCGGTCGACCCCACGAGCGTATTTGGCCCGCAGCGGGACGCGCTCTACATTGTACTCCCGATAACAATAATTTACACACTCATATTTATAACGGGGTTGTTTGGCAATATATTTACCTGTATAGTTATAATTAGAAACAAAAGTATGCATACAGCAACAAACTACTATTTATTTAGCTTAGCAATATCAGATCTTCTTCTGCTTGTAAGTGGCATGCCGCAAGAGATATACACTATTTGGTCAAAGTGGCCATATGTATTCGGGTCAGCATTTTGTCTCATCAGGGGTTTAGCAGCGGAGACGTCGACTAACGCAAGTGTGTTGACAATAACTCTGTTCACTATAGAGAGATACTTAGCTATTTGCCATCCATTCGTGTCTCACAAGATGTCGAAATTGTCTCGGGCTATAAGGCACGTCCTAATGCTATGGGTAGTATCCTTTGGCCTAGCTCTACCACAAGCACTGCAGTTCGGGATCAGAGAACACAAAGGAGTCACCATGTGTCTTCAAACGCGAGTAATCATTAAACACTCGTTTGAAATATCGACGTTCTTTTTCTTTTTCGCGCCCATGGTTTTAATCACAGTACTATATGCGCTAATTGGTATAAGACTGAAGAATACCAATGTAAGTAAACAAACTAAGGATAAAGAGGAAATTGAAAGAAATATACGATTTTCACATAGAGTGAGACGGAAACACAGTCAATCTACGAGACGAGTTATAAAAATGTTAGGTAAGAATAACACGATAAACTAATATTCTTTAAATTTGAATGAGGTACATGTTATGTAATAATTTTAATTTTGATTCTGTTCAACAATTATTTAATGTTACAATTCATTAGCATTGACGTTTTTATATTTTGTTAACTACACCACACCTTATGTAATATTTGAAGTGAATTAGATAATGCTATTTCAAAGATACAAGATCTGGCATTAATGATCTACTAAAATGTTGAAGTTTTAACAGAAAAAAAAATGTCTATGCGAATTTCTCTAATTGCAATTTTTTAAATTTTATTTACTACAATGATCACAATTTTTCACAGTGGCCGTGGTAACAGCATTTTTCATATGCTGGGCACCATTCCATGCTCAACGGTTGGTAGCAATTTACGGCACAGGCGAAAACCATAAGGCTCGGTCACCCATCTTCCACTTCGCTTATTATGTTCTTACATACTCGTCTGGTGTATTCTACTACATGTCTACATGTATCAACCCGATATTCTACCACATCATGTCTAACAAATTCCGGGAAGCTTTCAAGGTATTTTTTTGTATATTTCACGACTTCTCCGAGTTTTATTATAATTTATAACACACACACCTTATAGCGCCGCACTAGGAAAACTCTACATCGCAAGTGCCATGGACATACACACATAGACAACCACAAATTACACCCAAAGTCACGAGAGAAATATAATAATAACGCACACACTCAACATAGAAATAAATGTAGGCCATTCAAATATTTGAAGAATCGAATCTCCCGCGGGTCCCTTCTGCATGTAGATCAGTGTGGTAACTTTCGACCGCGGAGGCAGTAATCTATACATATATTAAATAACGCCAATTTCCTTTACTCTGCAAAATGTACAACAATCTCGGAAATACAAATTATATTTTCTCAATGTTTCATAAAAACTTAAACAGCCTTTGTTAATTAATAAGTGAATACCTGCCAAAGTATTTTTTTTAAATATCACTAGAATAATATTATTGTATTTTGTTTACAAAAATCTATCCAAAGCGTGAATACGACGTAATGTATAGGTAATGTAACAAATTCACTGCTAGTGAGCTAAGTTTAAATAGGAATTTGGTTTACGACAAAATACGATCGTGATGAACGCTTTAAAACCAGTACCATTTTATTACATATTACTCCTGAATCTACATTTTACATGTTAAAGTAGTTATTATTTTTACAAAACTCAATATATATACAGACAGAAGTTAATTATCCGAATTCTGCAACGTGTACGGAACCTATGCGCGGGTGTAACAAATTATTTTTAAGTATTTTTCGGCGCATTACCTACATGTACTCGTATACATATATGAACAACTTTAAAATCGCTAGAAAGCACAAATTCAATCGTGTAAGAAATACTGTTGCCATGAAAAGCTTACTTATTAGCAACAACTTTAGGTCAAGCTGCAATATCTCGACCACCGCAAAAAAGTGGCCTGATGCTAATCGTCGATTTTCTATAGGATATAGTAAGTGCAGGGGCTTTTCATTTTACTTCCATTTCACCGTTCCTCCTTAGGCCGCCTGGAAAGTCCGGAACACTGCATCCTTGTGACATTGACCCATTCGCATAAAGCACTTTTCTTCCCCCTTAGTAATGCTTACAACAAAGGAATGGAATTCACTATGTGTGTTTCGTGAAAAGTATAATTTAAGCCTATTATAGTGTACCTATATAGCTTTTTTAAACAACCACGTACCATTGTCAGTACAAGGACCAAGCGCGTATATCTATTTTACATAAGCAAAAAACCTCATATTGATTTTATTGAATGTCATGCGTTCAATAAAATCTATATTACAATTATTACTGTCACATCTGCATCAGTCTCAGGCTCTGGTAGATGTAAGAGCGATGCCTCACTATAAATTGCTCTGGCGTTGCGACATCGATGACGCTGCGGTGTATTAGATATATGTATATATAAATTAAAACTACATGGCCACATGGTACCTTGAAATGGCGCCTGGTGGCAGAACGCATGCACATCGTACGCTCGAAGCACGAAATCCTTAGTTTTCCCACTATGGATATGGATGACTTGAGTTTCGATTGGGGCTAGAACTACAGATTACTTAACATTTACTACGAAACTAGCACTAAGAATGTATGACAACGAACGGGCCATTTGACAGTTTCGAACGGGCCCGTCTTATCATTGACGTATTTCGAGATAGTTCCGTAGATCATCCATAGTAGGTAACCGGTCGTAACTACGGATTTCGTGCTTCGAGAGTAAAACCTCTGCAGAAGAAGCGGGTAGGGGCGCTGCGATGCGTAAGTAAGCAGCAGTGTTACGTTGCGACACCGTATTGCTTGTGTGGCATCGCTCTAAAGGTATCGGCTGAGTGAGAAGCTTCATAAATCTCTCACAAATGTCGCTCATGGCAATAAAAGCTGAAAAATTCCAATACAAAGATCTATCACAAACACATTGAGAATTCGTATGACCTGCTGACCGTAACTCATCCGTAACTCAGTTGGTAGAGCGGTGGCCCTAGTTTGGCAGGTTCGAGTCCTGTAAGGTCGAAATAATTTTTTTTGTGTTCGATATTTGTACATTACAAATAATACTCAAACTAAATTGAATATTCCACGATCTATGATTTTGTGTTACCATAAATACAGTCTAAGAATTATTATGTTTTGAGTTGATTAAACTTTTAGTAAATAGTGTGGGGCATTTATTAAACAGGGTTAAATGTACTTTAAATACTAATACATCATCTTGTAAGCATATTAAGGCAATAAATGAATTAAAAAATAATCTGCTGCCGCACAACCTTGAGTAACATTAATAGGTCCTTAAATATAATTACTGAATTTTTCACGTTTGTATTCTCTTTCAGAACACAGTACGACAGTGGTGCTGTCGTAAAAGTGACCTGCGTGCTGTGCAACGTCGTTCCTACACCGCCATAGCCTTCGCAAGGAACCCCAACTCTAATGGCACTTTAAATACTGGTACATACAAAGATACAATTAAAAGAGTGTGTGCCATTTAGCATGTCAATAGCGATCATAGACCCGACTTTCATCCCGAAACCCCAATCCGACAGCGACCGATCACCGATACCTAAAAATCTGCCTTAATTTGGATATCGCTGGAGTAACATAATAAAAGACAATGACATAACTTAAAAACATCGAAAATTAACGCATATCGCTCTAAATTTATATATTGTTAATATCACGTATTTCATTCATTAAAACTCATATTTACGATTCAGTGCATAATAACTATAATTGAGTTTTTTATCCTTATAATTTTAAAAGTACAAAATGTATCAATTTTCATTTAATACCTATAAAAAACTACGGACACTTCAAAAAAGGCAAATTTTAACTTAACCCCGTTTATTTTTACCTGCTTTTCACGCCACAAACACGTCATCTTTCTGCCATTTTGTTTTACATCTATTAAACACACATACATTTTTGCAGGTACTTCGATAAGGGCTGATCCGAAAAACAAGGATATAATTTTAGAAGGGAAAGATCAACAGAACAAATTAAAACAGTGGCGAGGCTGCTGCTACTGCGACCAAGCAGTTCCAACTCCTGACCAGGTGAATAGCTGCAAAATTCATACTTGCAGTAACAAGTATATTAACCATCACAAGAAAGAGCTTGAAAGGGTGGACTCAGATCGTAGTCGGACTGAAAGGATCAGATCACATTTCATAGAGATTCGTTCAGAACAAGAAGAGAAGACTTCTTTCTGCTCTCATTCTTGCTGCTCCCGACAAAAATCCCTAGAAGATGCCTTTACTCCAGGTACGCCAGAACCTACAGGCAGTAACAGTTCCGAAGAAAACAGAACAGAATATTGACAGACCGATACTTCAACTAAATAAGATTAAATATGTTACTTGTGATATTACGTTTGGTTTGTGAAACTTTTAGTATGTTGTTTAAATATGCGTGCTTAGTGTATCTTATATTTTTGTGTTGAGTGAAATTGAGGTAAACTAAATTACGACTATATGCTAGAAAACCTCAATTTTGAAAATACGAGAAAAATGGACTGTCAGACTTTAAACTATCTTTTTACATAAAGCAGATTTTATAGACTCTGTGACGACATTGTAATTTTTACGGGCTTTACACCGGTCACAACGGCGACTTTTAGCAGCGATGCAAACGCGATACAAACGCGATGAAAACGCGAAAGAAACGCAATGCAAACGCAATGCACGTTTTAAATTAATTAACTAATTTAATGTATTTATTAATTTCACTTTTAAATTTACAATTAACAAAACAATATAACGTGCATAAACCTATACAGATCTTTCGTACATAATTATTCAACATAAGCGACTGTATCGATGAAGTCACCCCTTAGCATCAATGCAATCACTTGTTTGCATCAATACAATCGCCTATAAATCGCAAGTGAGATTTTTGTTTTCGCTATGTAGAGTCGCCGTGTGTAACCACTCGTGTTCACAGTGCCGGCTTAACATATGGTGCAGGATGTACGGCGCACACGGGCGCAGTGGCTCCAAAGACCCTGCGTCATTCGCGGCGCAAGCGAAGTAAACATGTTATTGCTTCCCAACAACATTTTATAATCGCACCATTTCCTAATATAACTACAAGAGTTCCATTTTCAGCGCGTGCCTACTAGAGGGCCCCAGAGTATTGATTGCACCCAGACTCTACAAGGTTGAGCGCCGGCGCTGATACGACATATTTTTTGTAAACACATTGTAAAGAGGTTAATGAGATGGTCCTTTATTTCAATTATTCGTTCGACAGTCCTTACAAACGGTCTCGATGTAGATAGTCAGTAGACATTGCATTTACTACGATCTGTAAATATGGGCGTATTATACATAATATTACATATAATGTTACATATAAATGTTATTAAATAGTTTCATTACTAAGGTACTGTGATGTTTTGTTTCTGGTATCATTATTTTCTAGTGTCAAAAATGGTGAATATGATTTCCTTCAAACTATTACGTAAAATATACATTTCTCCTTCAAAAGCGTAACAATAAACGTAAACTATAATAATAAATATGTACATGTTTTATTAGAGATAACACTTGTACTAAATATACTGGATGTGGGAGAGGCCATAAAAAATCTTCAAAAGGACGAAGTTTATAATGGACACCTGCTTCTCTTTTAGTACAAGTACATTTGTTGTCAGTGCAAACTAGACATTCTCCTGGGTGGATATGATCAAAAATAAGAAAAGGTTTCTCCTGAACAATGTACCATATACATGCGCGAAGATACGCTCTATGTTCTCATAAAACGTCTTTATCTTCGTCTAACGTGGAATGTTACAAAATATCTTTTTGAAAGGCGATATGAACGTCAAAAAGTTTAATATTTTTTCATTTATGAGGAGCGAGTAGCAATATAGACTTCTTCCATGAGATGTATAAATAGTTTGGTAAAAAACTAAGAACATCAATATGTTATTTAACCGCTTACGCGATACATGCAGCATACGCATACCACACCTAGAGGTGCCGGTGATGATTTTATACCGATTTATCGGATATCGAAGTTATAACAGGGAAAAGAACTAATATTAATTGCTATTTCGGTTTTATGAAGTTTTTAATGCCTGGGTCTGTCATTTAAAAAAAATAAACAACTTCAAGAATACGTCACGACAATCGTGAGTGTTATTGTTTGGGCTGGTGATTTCGGTATTTATTTATTGAAAACATACCGTAAGTAGCGTTTTTTAAGTTTACCCTGAACATAAATGTTTATAAACTATACTTTAAGGAGTAATTTCATGGTAAACGTTAGAACCACTCAAACGGAATATTATCATATTTATCCAAGTACACCAAAAATTTCATTAGTGCTTTTTAAGTGCAGGATTTGCGGTGTATTACTGCATTTTATTTGAGATGTTTTTGTTGGTAGTACGGAGGGTATTTATTTAGCAGTGCAGAATAATAATTTTTATTTATAAAAACTTGTATTTAAACTGAATGCATTTCTAATTTGCGAAACCAAATTTTGCGGTAGGAGGAGCGCATCGCGTGAGCGGATAATAATATCGCAAACAGAAGACAACGTGATGAGATTTCACACATAATTTGTAAAAAGTTCCAACCGGAGTTATGGCCACAGAGGTCAAAGTGGTGGATTATGGCCTAAACATCTCATTACATGAGACCCGTGCCCGTGCGTAAACTACAGTTACAAAAAAAATTAAAAAAATTTAAATTAAAAACATTTTAAATTTACGTAAGTACAGTCAATTCGGGTAACTTTGAATCGTGATGTAACTTTGAACGTTGCGTAAAAGATTTAAAAATTTATTTTATGTATGGCAATCTTTTATTTTTAGTATTGAAGCTGTGTAAATCGGAACAAAATTGTTAAACGACAGTTATGAAAGAAAAAAGTAATGTTAAATTGTATTTTTTTAAACTTTCGCGGTTATTTCTTGGCGAAAGTAGTTTGGTGTGATTTGTTGCTCAGTTTTAGAATCGGAATTAAATACATAAATCTGAATATTGACTGGTAAGTTTTGGTTTCCACACTTAAATAGAGGTTTATATATCGCTTTTTTTAAAGAATAATTTAATTTGGTTTTGTATTTACGCGTTAAACGATTTTGACGACGTTACCAAACAGAGAAATTTGGGTAACTTTGAATGTGTTTGACTGTGTTTTTAGAGAAGAGGGTAGTCTGTTTCCAGGGAGAGTTCTAAAAGTTACTCCTTTGGAAATTACTGTCTCAGTGCTCCAAAAATGCTTTTTAGGAGGTTGGTCTTGGCCCTCTAACGTTGAGACATGTCAAGTTAATAAAGCCGATATTGTGAATATTATAAAAGAGCAACAGCTATCTAGAAAAGGCGGCCGTATTTATATTGATGACGACATTTTATTCAAGGAGTGGGGTGAATAGATTTTTGTTATGTATTTACTTTGCCTAAAATAATTGTTATAGGTGATTCATTTTGATCTCGTTTGATAGCTAAATAAACGTAGAATTTATTATTAAATAGAAAATTTTCATTTTTATTCGCATTAATTAAAAAAGCTAAAAAAAAAAACAAGTTTTTCATTTCAACTGAATTAGTTCGTCTCGTTTTATTATGGCAATACCAAGTAAAATGTCGTTTTTGAACGCACTGTCAGGAATATTTGGACAGATTCACATCTAAAAAACATGAATATGTCGTATAATCTTACACAAACTGTAAAATATCTAGAAAATATACGGTTTCCATATCGAAGGCTAATCTTATTCAAAGTTACCCAAAATTCAAGGCAACTTTGAATGTGACTTTTGGAACAAATTACAGTTTTGTTGAATAATTACTAAATTCCTTCTATAAGAACGAAAAAAGGGCTTAAAAGAACACTATTCAGTTAATAAAGTAATTGTTAAGAAACATAATTAAATTTGAAATTATTAGAAAAACGCAAAAAATGTTCAAAGTTACCCGAATTGACTGTAGTAACTTTTAAAACAAATTGTATTTGGCACCTGAATCACAAAATATGTATAAAAAAACAAGGAATTGCCTGTTTTCATGTTACTAAGAAAATCTTAAAATAAAGATTTCATTTATAGGATTTTTTATTACAGGAAATGAAACTATTCTTTCGGATGTAGATTTGTTGTTTTGAACAAATCAACCTTTCGGACCTTTTACAGATCCCGTAGTCACGACTGACGGTCAGCCATTTAGTTCCGGAAAAAAATAGTTTTATTTCCTAAGTGTAACAATCGCCAAAGCCTAAAAACTTAAAACGTTTTTATTTTTAAACATTAAAATGTGTTTCCTCCGCATCAAAAGCTTTTCTCCCCGCCTACGCATGCCGAGAACGATGTTATCATTGATTCAGTCATCCCTTCACTGATGAACAGCAAACCGGTGCGAGAGCTCAAACATTTATCCCTCCCTACACCATTATTGATCCTCCACTGTACGTCACTGCAGTACAAAAGTCAGACTGTTTGGATGTTCCTCTTTGTGTTCCCAGAGTCTTACTCTCCTATCAATTTGACTTCTTCGTACAGTGCGTTCACTTACCCACGAACTTCATGAAGTTGATTTCGAGCTTGAACAGCGGTACGCTATAATAAAATCTATAATAAAACTGAAGTCTTTTCTAGAAGTACGTATTCTCCTACCGTTTCTGTACTTTTCACGAAATAATTTACTTCTCTAATTCGTTGAATACTGCGACGTATTGTCGACAAAGGCCGATGTAGAATTCTAGAGATCATTTTGCAAGTTTGATTATTCACTCGCGTTTCAATAGCCCTAAGAGCCTATGCGTACACAGCGTATTTTATACTCGCCGACGAAACACGTATACGCGTAGTAAACGCATATACGCATATACGCGCCTTAGACGCTCCGTAAACGCGCCTATGTATCGCGCATTTTGATAAGAGATAGTTTTAATTTTAGTTTTGTTTGATGATTTCAGCTAATTTTTAAAATGAAGCAACTACATGAAATTCTATATAAGTTTCTTGCTTTTGAATCGATTCAATACAGCGCGTCTGCTGCGCATATACACGCAGATGACGCGCGTTTACGGCGCTTATAAAATACGCCGTGTGCAAAGGCTCTTACTATCTCTGTCGATGTTCTTCATGTGTTGTCGGGCATGATGACGTTTATGAATTAATTAAGATTTAAAATACAAAATAACAATATAACTTGACCTTACTAAAGAAAAAATTATGAAATATAAATCATTACAGCAAGCAGAAAACTTCCGACACGCTTTCGTCAGCAATAAATTCAGCAATTCTATTATGCAAATTTGTTTTCTAAGTTTTAAAACTATTTAGTTAATTAATCATGAAGAAACTATTCAGTAATGTTAAAGAAGAGCTTTAATATTTTTTTGTATATCCCGCTAAAATACGCCGCCGTGTATGTACAATAATATATATATTCCTCTACACTATAATAATAATATATTATAATAGTAATTGAAACTAAGGACTCGAAGATTTAATATGGTAATATCGAATAGTATCCAAGACGAAAACTTAACCTCCATATGCATTTTCCTCAACAAAACTAGTTTAACACTAGAGTGTTAAATAATTCTCTTGTTTATTTATGGACAGATATTATGTAAAATGATTAGCAAACAATTGCTCTGTTTTTATTACATTTTAAACCTACCGACATAAGAAATACCAATAGGTTTTTATCATTAATTCAGCTCTGACAAGCTCTTTGGGAAAATGTCCAGTAATGTTATTACATTATTCATTTTCGAATTCGGGTTTCACGTAATGTCATTTTATGTACTATAAAAACGATGGCGTAATTATTATTAACTTTCATTTGTACATACGCACATAAATTAATTTTCAATAGTGACACAAAAGCACATCAATTCTACCAATTACCTACTTACAGAATAAGTAATTGTTAGAATTAATATGTTAAATCATATCCTCATACATATTTTTTACATTATACTTCAGCCTTTTTTTTACTTTAGCTAAACTGTTCATTCGATGGAAATTCTTTGAAAGAATAGACTGGTAGGGACGATCAAGAGTCCGATAAATTTCTTTGTGTGTACGCATATGCACACAATTTTTACAACAATTTGCATTCCAGTAAACTTGTTATTTATTTCAACCAAAATGGTCCATGTTGTCGTAGCAATTTTTGAAATAGACTTTGTTGGTATTTTCTTTAAAAAGAATATCTGTATTTAAATTTTATTGAATTGATATTCAATTATTTTATGTGTATTTACTCCACTAGTTTGTTATAATTATTAATACAAAGATCGAACACTCAGCAAAATATAAGAATAACTGTAATTATTTTTGAGAAAGCATTAAATTCGTTACGCTGAACGAATCAAGCCTATTTAAAAAGTTCAAGAAATGACAATTAATAGTGTAGAACCATCTCTCCAAAAAAAAGTATCTGTAATATAGGTATTGAAACAATTATGGAGTTTTCTTTGACAGAAACTTTTTGCACGATTGGCTCGTGTTTCGAA